ATGGTGTAGAGCCATCGGAAGTTACCATTACTTCCAACTTTTTCATCCTTCCAACTAATTGGTGAGACTACGTTCTCATTTTAAATGTCTTAATACTTCAAATCTATACGCTTTCTAGGCGAAGCCAATTAACTTTTATAGTCATTACAATTAACGACGTCTGAGTTATCCATCTCATGGAACAAATAAAAGGTTTCGAATAGGAACCTAAAGATTCTCAGTGTTTTGTCTTCAAGTGTAAGTCGCTGTCTCATCAAGTCTGAGCGTAAAAATAAAGCACAGAGTGTACATTAACGATTAATACATAAAACATTGTTACCCACACGACACTAAATAACCCTCAAAAAGTAGCTTTCACCAAAGCAAACAGGATGCCGACGAGTACTTCACCTACTTTAACAACTGTTAAATACATTTTGCAATCCCTCGGCTGACAAACCTCAGATACATTTTCGCCACAGATCAAATCCTCTTCTGACCATGCATCGTTTCATCCATTTTGCCTTCAAAGTAGGATTCGGAGTATTTTCACAAGAATCAAGGATTCACCAAGATTGGTTTTTTTTCAGTCCTTTGTGTTTCTGCCGAGACGTACGGTTGAAATTTTGAACAATTTATAGTCAAACATGGACCAAAAAAAAGTAAGACTTCTCACTGCACAGATGCTTTCATCCATTTGTTTGCTTATTTTTTTTTTCCACCAGACTCGGACTCAAGTTTTTCCCCAAGAATTGAGGGTTCACCAAGATTTTTTTTCAGTCCTTTATGTTCCTAGTGAGACCTTAGGTGGAAATTTTAAACAATGTTTAGTCAAACATAGACTACAAAAGTCAGACTTATCACTTGACAGATGTTTTAATTCATATGTTTGGTTTTTTTTCCACCAAATTCGAACTCAACATTTTGGCCCAATGACTTCTTCCAATTCTTTTGTTGCAGTCGCGTGGAAATCTGAAGGATGTTTCAAAGAGCACAAGAGGAAAGCGAAAATGGTTCTCGGACGTAAAATCGCCACCGTCCCTGGAAAGAAACTAAGCATTCAGGAGATATTTGATAAGTGCAAAATTGCAGCGGAAAAGAAAGGTTTCAAGATTTTTGGTATTCGAGTGAGTGAAAAAGATTTTTTTAACTTCGCCTAACATTCATAAGACTATTAAATTATTTTCCATGAGCAAATTTGTGAGATATCCGACTCAGTCGAACGAAACACTCGGTTATATAAACATAACCAAAATTTGCAGTACACCCCTTTAGGCTTGGTTTGTATTGATCGCTTTAAAAACGTTGCAAAAGCGATTTTCCTAAGGTAACTCACAAGGTAGACTGTAATCTTGATTCCCAACCATTTTTTATCTTCTTCTCTATTTGTTGTACAGAACAGGAACAGGTGTTTCTCAACAAGTGATGGAAGAGTGCAGGAGTTTAAAAAGTATGGAGTATCATCCAAATGCAAGATAGATGACAACGGTCTTGGTGTTGGAATGAAACTCGCCAACTTTGTCTACACCAGGTAACCTGGATAGGGGCTCTCGCTCACATTCTCTTCAATGTTAATTGTCAATGCTAAAAATATAGCAAAGAATAAAAGCCAGAACAACAGAAGTAACAACTATTTATTTTCACTGAAGCATCTGAGTGGGCCGGAATCTTAAATTCTCAGATCTGATTGGCTAATCATGTCCTCGTAGCTGGTCCAGTTTTTTTATGATAAGGACTACGTAATGGAACTTCTTCCGTACCATTTACAGCAAAGCAGAAAAGGCAGACGAGCAGAGAAAAAAACTGGATTAGTTAATCACCAGTCTAGGTCAGTCCTTATAGGAAAAAAGCTGTAAGGGGAGGGGAAGGGGTTTGCACTGTCGCATTTAAATTTTAGAAAATTAGAAGAAAATAACTAACAAAACACTACAGAAAAAACAATGATCAAGAACATAAGGCAAGTCACAAGTAAGATCAAATTTAAGTAGCGACATTTAAATGACACGGCACAGTAGCTCAATATTAACATAAACGATATTTTTATTACCGTAATGATTCGATTTAGCTCCTGGGCGCTTTTTTACTTTTGATACCACAAGGGAGGGCGCCCATCGGACACAGGGGGCTTATTGGGGACAGGACGTTATTTCATCTTTTGAGGAACAGCATATTGTTCAAAACAAAGCTTTGACATTTATTTTAAAAAGCATAAAAACAGACTGGTTCCCCCTGGATCCTTCATGAACCTTCCTGGACAGATGACCAGCGGCTGCCAAGGAATTGTCACAAAATTTTAAAATGAGAGATACATTTAATAGATGAGAGAGCTTATTAGAGAGGGTGCGAGAGGGTGCGCTTATTATAGCGAGAGCGGTAAATCGAATTATTACAGTATTACGATTATTTATCACACAGCCATGAACATAAAACTTCTATTGTTAACATGATAAATCGAGTTTTTATTTTAAATCATCTTTTCTAATCTTTTCCTTAGGCTGTAAAGATAGACTCAATGCAGAAATGCAGCAATGCACAAAATGGATTGGATGGAATTTGAAGTTCTACCTGAGTAAATTGAAAATCTTGTTGGGTTAAGGGTTTTAATTCATTAAAGGGTTAATCTGAACTTAATAAAAAACGCGGCACAAATGGGGAGAGTTTTTGTCATCTTTTATTGAAACTATTGCAGCCTTCTACATCAACTTGTTTTCCTTGAGAGGAATTCTCAGGCCATAAGTTCTTTGGACGCAAAGGGCGAACCTCCTTTTTTCCTGTATCTGTTTGTTGCTTATGATTGGGACTTTTGACGTTGTCGTCAAGATTAATGTCGTAGTATAGTTGGTGTTTTCAGGCAATAGAACGGGTGATCATATGAAGATTGAAGTCTCCCACAAGATGGTTAGCATGAAAGAATTAAGACTCAGGAAATCTGAGAACTTCTACTTAGAAACGTTTATAGTTCTAGTTCGCCATGCTCAGACGGAAGTAAATTATTTTTCCCTTAAATACCGTAAATGTAAAACCACGCACCTTAATGGTTGGATGCTCAGGTGAACCAAACTGACTTTTATTTCGCATTTAAGTTCAAATAGTAGTAAGTAATTAGTATAAAGCTAGAAAGTTATAATCGGATTTCTACAAACTCAGCGGCCAAGTTTCTTGTAAACCTATAGAAAACAGATAGAAAACAGATAT